AGAAGAGAGGAGAGGAAAAGGAAGAGATTATGGGGGAAGAAGAAAAGAAAGAGGAAAAAGAAGCAGAGGGAGAGAAGACAAGAAACAGTGTGTTCAGAGAACAAGGTGGGAACTTGCATAATAAGCTTCCACTGAACAGGAGATGCTTATTAATGGAACATACAGGTTTGTTTTTTTTTTTTTTTCAAAACCGTGACCCAAACTGTAAAAATACCAAATGGCCTAAGATTGTGAGGAAGCATGCTCACATTAAACTTTACCTATGGGTACAGTGCGGACTAAAATTGAGGGCTCTGAAGCCAGTGCTCCTTTTCTAATTTCACTATCATGAGTCTGAAAAAATTTTAAAAAGCAGCCTCCTAGACTCCTCAATTCCCATCACTGTCTACATTGTGCAACTCACACAAGAGAGCAAAATGCAATCCGGAAATACCAAACTGGTCTACCATGAGGACATGGAGCTATGTCCTTACTCTTGCTTCTTTTTCTTGAATTCAGTTTCCTTTTCTAAATGTTCGTAGGAAATGTGTATTATGGAAAAATAACCTATGTGAGGATTTCGAAATTGCCTTGCACCAAAAGTAAATTTACTTTTTGCTTGCACTTGTCTATGAACTTTCTGAAGTCCTCTCATTTCTGTCAAGTGTTTGCTTACAGTGCAAGCCCTTGGTTTGAGTGTTTTGTAGAAAGAGAAAGGGAAATCAGATTTTTAAAAGTAACTGGGAGATAAGTATTTGGCAAAATAGTTAAAACACCACTTGGGAAACCCATAATGGTGTTACCTGGGTTCATGGCCCAACCGTGGATGGCATGCCAGATGTACATGGAGAATATAGTAGTCCATTGGGGCCTGCAGAAGGCATCTGGTACCATAGTATAGGAAGGAAGACAGAACAAATTGGACAACTACCCCAGCCAAGTTTTGGCAGCAAATATCTGGGCAAAGACAGACTCTAAGGTGGACTATGTCAGCCAAAGGATCTCAGAATTTCCTCATCCTTGGAGCAACAAAATCAACAGCATTTCAGAACTATCGAAATCACTTGAACTAGAACCCTTGGATCATGTTCCACATCAGGGACCCTGGGATGACATCGGGTGGCTATCGGCTGTCCCCCATCCCTGAGTGCTGATGTGGTTACGATGCTGGATGCAGCTTCTCCCCTTCCCCCCCCACCCCCACCCCAGACACTGGAAGAATCTTGGAAGAAACTTGGAAACGATGGCCTCATCCACTTTGCCCTAATCCTCTGAACGCTTTCCACCCTAATCAGTGGTCCACATGGACATGCATCCTTCTCAACTATGTAAATATAATCAGAAATAATTTTTTAAAAAGATGGACTTCTAGCACTTGCAGAGGTGCAGCTGGGTGAGAGGAATGCCTTCTAAAATCCCTTAGCACAGTGGAGTAATTGGCAACAATTTATTGTATATTTCAGAAGAGTTAATAGAGAGGACTGTTAATGTCCTTAATGCAAAAAAAGCGATGAATGTTTGAGGGGACAGAAATACCATTGATTCTGATTTACATAGCATTGATTACATGGCACCCTTATGTACTGAAATGTCACACTATACCCCATAACATGTGCAAGTATTAAAAAATAAATAAATAAAAATAAAAGGAAACTAGATGGGAGGCAAGTATTTGGCAAAGTACTTAAGACACCACTTGGGAAACCCATAATGGGGTTACCTGGGTTCAAGGCCCAGCCATACTCCCAATTCCAACTTCCTGCTCATGAGCAACCCAGGTAATGGCTCAAACGGTTGGGGCCCTCTTCATCACCCACGTCGAGTTGAATTCCAAGCACTTCTTGGCTTCAGCCTGGCCCAATTCTTGCAGACATGAGACCTCAGAGTGAGTGTGTGCGTGTAAATAATATTTTTTTAAAAAGAAAACAATTTGCTTTTATCACAAGCATAAACACAAAAAGGGACAGAGGCAGTTCCGTGCAGTAGGAAAGTAGGACTACTTCTCGCAGGCCTATGAAGAGCTAAGCAGTTGTCCCTTCTTCTCGCTTCCTCCCATATGCCTTCCTCCACAGATGGGCCCATTTGTCTGGTACCCTCCTCTTCCTCTCTGACCAGTGAGTGTCCTCCTCTATCTTAGTCCTACAGGATCTTCCCGAGACACCCTTTGCCCCTTTGGTGTCATCATAAATGGTTGGACTTTGATCTAACCATTACGTTTTAGAGACTTCAAGATCAAGTCAGATATGTTTTACTCAAGAGGGTTTTAAATGTTTTGAGGTGCTGTCCTCTTTTCTCTAGGGAAAGCTTCCAGCAGTGGCCATGGTCAAGCACAACAGGAAGGAATTTGATTTTCCAGAGGACTCTTTAAACCACACCTATTGGCCTCATCAATTCTCATACTTAGGACAATGAGACTTGAATGACCAGATGAGCAGAGTCCTGGATCGGTCTTATCTCCTGTGAACTTGGGCGACCCTTGGGGTTAATCATCATCTGCAGTGTGCCTACCCGGCAGGAACACTGAGGAAATGACCAGGTCAAGTGAGACAACAGTTGTTTTCAGATGGTTCCAGTTGAAGGACAGGGGTTGTGATGCCCTTTGAGATGCCCATATCCCATATCAAGGGTTCAAGCCCTGGCTCCATGCCTGTTAATGCATACCCAGGAAGGGGGTGGATGATGGGTCAAGTATGTGGATCCCTGCCATACACATGGGAGACCTGGATTGAATTCCCAGCTCCTGACTTTCACCTGACCCAGCATTTGGGAAGTGATCTCTCTCTTTCTCCTTCTTGCTACCTTTCAAATACTTATGAATCAATGTTTGTTCTTTTAAAAAATCCTATTGTAAAAAAATAATGATAACATGGATATTTACTGTGTACCGGGCACTGTTGTGAGATTATGAATGTGTCCTCAAAACAAGAAACGTAGTGCTTTATTTGTCTTTGTAAATACAGTTTTATTGAACAAAGCCACACTCACCTAGTTCTGTATTTTCTGGACATGTTTTGGCACTGCCAAAAATATTAACTATTTGATTCTTTATAGAAAAAAAATAATTGTCAACCCTTGCCCTATACCACTGTGATACCAAGGGGTATCACAAAACTCCTTGGGAGGCACTAATGTTATTGTGCAGGAGGTTCAGTCACAGCCCGTGATGCTATCATCTCATGAGCGCTGGTTCGAATCTCAGTTGTTCCATTTTTGATACAGGTCTCAGCTAATGTCTGATTTAGTTCCTGCTAATGCACATCGGAAAGCAGTGAAGATTGTCCAAGTATTTGGGCCCCTGACACCCATGCTGGAGATCCAGGTGGCGTTCCCAGCTGCTAGCTTTAGACTGGCCCTGACAGCCATCTTGGGAATAACCCAGAAAACATGCTGCTTTATGACGAGTGTCCTATTGGAAGCAAACGAACTCTGGCTGTTGAGAGACACACAGCCATTCTATTTCCAAAGCCCTCACTAGAGTATGACCTCTGCCTGGTCCCATCTCTCTGATACAGAATCTTAGATTCTTAAATCCAGGAGAACATTTAAAATCTAGGATCCTACTGCTTCACATTCCAAAGATTCAGAGAGGTGAATGAAATCATTTGGGGTCCTTGTGCAGTTCCCACTCCCTGCCATAAATGCTAACTTTAAAGGGGGCTGACAAAGGGTTGGCTCAGCCTTGTTGTACCTGCTGTTCCCAGGCAGCCAGCCCTGCTCAGGGCCCTGGCAGGTATGGCCAAACTCACTCCCAAATAAGAGTCCTCCTTCTGTCTGTGTACCTGAGGCTCCACTTCTCTGAGTAATTTCTATTATACTTAGCCGTGGAGTACAAATTCCCATGGAGCTTCATAGCCTTCCTGCCCTCACATCTCTCTCATCCCTGCACATCAGTGGCTGTGAGGTAAAGGTGCCATAGAAAAAGGAAATCAGGGCCTGGCACGACAGCCTAGTGACCAAAGTCCTTGCCTTGCATTAGCTAGGATCCCATATAGGCACCAGTTAGTATCCCAGCTACTCCACTTTCTTTCCAGTTCCCTGCTTATGGCCTGAAAAAGCAGTCGAAGACAGCCCAAAGCTTCCGGGAGACCCAGAGAAAGCTTCTGGCTCTTGGCTTCAGATTGGCTCAGCTCCAGCCATTGGGGTCACTTGGGGAGTGAACATCTTTCTCTCTGTCTTTCCTTCTCTTTGTAAATCTGCCTTTCTGATAAAAACAAATAAATAATTCTTTTTAAAAAGTAAAGAAAAAGGGAATTAATACTGTGCCACCAACCAGCCCACAATTACATAAACACAGCTTGATGGTTTCATGTTACTCCTCTGCATTGGTGTGACCTGTCTAGAGCGTAACTCCAGCTTCCAGGGGCCTCCCTGTGTGGCTGTCTGTGTAAGCACACTCCTCTCATGGTTTCAGCCTGGGAGCACCCTGATTCTCCCCCTCTAACTGTGCCTGCCTTCACTCCTCCGGCCTAAGCATGAACTAGTTTCCTCTTTGTGCCTAACTTTTCAGAGTCAGAGCATTCTTCCAGAACCTCTTGATCTTTACCACCTATTTACCAAACCACTCCTCTTGGTATTAATTTCCTGGCCACTTCTTAGTTTGACCCAGAACTCTGGGTCAAAATGGCCATTGGCCTGAATTGACCAACCAACAAGAGCTCTTTGCTGATATGATATAAGGAACCTCCTACTTTTTCTCCCATCCATGTGAAAGAGAAATCTGGACTGGAATAAATTCCTGCCCTGTACCAGAGTCATGGAAAGATACCTCATAAGTATACAAGACACAAAATCTTTCAGAGGAAAGTCTTAACAGGAAACAGTAGCAGGCTCCCCCTCCATCCGTTCCGTAAGAATTTATCAAGAGCCTCCTACAGATCACATATCAGGCATTGAGTCAACTCTAGAGTTAGGAAAGACAAAAACAGCTAGAAAGAGGAATCACTATCATGCAAAACCAAGGAAATGTGGCTTCTGAAAGGGCCTATGGAAGCTAAGCAAATCGTATTTCAGAAAAAACTTACCGGCCACCACACCATACTTCGACCCGCCAGGAAGAAGCCTCCAACAGTCCCACGATTGGTGGAAAGCATAGCCTGTGGATGAAAGGGTCAGAGATGTCATAGAAAACCAGGAGCGTGACCTCGTCAGCCTCAAGGCTGTCACCACTCTCTTCCACCCACTCCACTTTCTGCAACACCGACATTTCCTCCTTGCTCTGGAGCCTCAGCATATCCAATCAAGGAGGAAGGGACCTACCTTCAACAGACCAGGACCCTGAGGCTCAGAAGCTTTAAATGGTGTGCCCTAGTGTCAGCTCCTACAGATGGCCCACAGTAGGGCTTTGAGCAAATCACTCCACCTCAATCTGTTTGCTTTGCCACTACACAGGAAGAAATAGAATTACTTTTGCCTTTCCTGCAAGCATTTGGAGCTGCCTCGTGAAATATCATGTTTCTAAAATGTACCAAATGATATTGTGCATTATATGAAAGAATTTCCAAAAGTTTTGGGGAAAGATGATTCACATTTTCCATAGATTTTATTTGCAATAAAGCTGTTAGCCCCTTCCTCCCACTCTTGTCCTCCCCAACACACATGCACATCAAAGAAATGAAAACTGATTCAAGAATACAAGACATTCTTCCTGCACAATCACAAAATCTGTTTGAGAACTACCATCCATTCCCATCTTGTTCATTAGTGGATTCTCACTGTCACAAATACAAAATCCCATTAAATGTGGTTGGATGAAAATATAGTGAGGAGAAGGGCTAAGCTGACCCCTCCTATCCTGGCTTCTACTCCATGGTGCTTGTGTCTCATAACAAAATATAATTTGGCATTGAGTTATAATGACTTCTGTGTATTTTGATGATTCCCAGGAAGACCAGAGAGCAAGCACTAAGACAAATAAAGATGGAGATGATGGAAATAAAAATAGAGATTAGAGATGACAGAGATAGAAATGGAGATGGAGATAGAGACAGACACAAGGGTTCCTCCATCTGCAGGGCTCTTAACACATGCTAAATGAAGCACTCAACAAATGTCTGTTGAGGTGGGTGTTGCAGCACAATGAGTTAAGCCAGCACTCAGGATGCTCACATATTATATCAGAGTGCCAGTCTGACTCCTAGCTACTTCACTTCTGATCCAACTTCCTGTCAATGCATCTGGGAAGGTAGCAGACAACCAAAACCTGAATCCCTGCCACTCATATAGGAGACCCAGATGGAGTTCTGGGATCCTAGTTTCAATTGGTTCAGCCATGGCTGCTGGGGCCATTTGGGAAGTGAAGCAAAAGATGGACAATCTATATAATTCTGTCTCTACCTCTAGCTCTAACTCTCTCTCTGTTTCTCCCTGTCACTCTGCCTTACAAATATTTATATATATGTATATATATATATATATATATGTAGGGGTGTTGCCATGGTGTAATAGGCTACACCTCCACCTGTGGGGCTGAGATGGTCACTGGGTTCATGTCCTCACTGCTCTACTTCCAATCCAACTCCTCACTCATGGGCCTGGGAAAGTAGCAGAGGATGGTTCAAGTCCACGGGCCCCAGAAGAAGCTCCTAGCTCCTGGCTTCAGATCAGCTCACCTCTGGCCATTGCAGCCATTTGGGGAGGGATATTTCTCTGTGTGTCTCTCCTCTCTATCAGTTGTCTTTCAAATAAAAATAAAATAAGTCTTTTTAAAAAATACAAAAAAAAAAGTTTCAATTTTGAGTTTCCTACCTCAAAATGAAACCATTTATAGCAGTTAATTTTCTTCTTCTTAGATTATAAACCAGAGATTAAAAAAAAAAAACTTTTTTTTAACCCAGACCCATTTGGATATTTATAGCATTATTTGCCTACCATACAAAATGATCAACTTAAAAATCAGCCTGCCTTAGACAAACTCACACACTGGATTTTGAGTCCTGCCTGTGGTTGCCTTGGCAGGACCAGACCAAATGATTTCATGGGCTTTCTACAGCCAGTGGGCAGGACAATCCCCACTCTTATTAAACTCATGCTAAATGTGACATAAAAGATCAGACGCTGAAACTCAGTTCACATCTTTCCTCTCTGAAGATGCGGACAGGAGCTTGCTGGAATCATCCCTTTTCTGTCTGGAACTCCTAGTGTGGGGATACAGAAAAGCACAGGCTCCTCAGAGACAGTAGAAGCTCAAAGACAAAGGGCAGGGGGTTACTTAGTAGTCAGAGAAAAGAGAAGGAGGCTTCCAACCATAGGAACATATCAGGATCTGAAGGTGCAACTGTGGATAGCGTGGAGAAGGCATGGCCGAACAGTATTACCATGAACTTGGATGAAGCATGTGGAGGGCAGAGCGGTGAGAAACGGGTCAGAGATCAGGCTGTCCAATACCAGGCTTAAAAAAAAAAAAAGGTTACGGGCCCGGCGCGGTGGCGCAGTGGTTAAAGGTCCTCGCCTTGCACGCCCGGGATCCCATATGGGCGCCGGTTCTAATCCCGGCAGCCCCGCTTCCCTTCCAGCTCCCTGCCTGTGGCCCAGGAAAGCAGTCGAGGACAGCCCAAAGCTTTGGGACCCTGCACCCGCGTGGGAGACCCGCAAGAGGCTCCTGGCTTCGGATCGGCATAGTATCGGCCCGTTGCGCTCACTTGGGGAGTGAATCATCGGACGGAAGATCTTCCTCTCTGTCTCTCCTCTCTGTATATCCGCCTTTCCAATGAAAAAATAATAAAAATAAATCTTTAAAAAAAAAAAAGTTTACTTAAAAAAATTATGAAAGGAAAGTATATCGGGTGCAAGAACTTAGGAAATTCATAATGTGAATTTTCCATGGGTACAGGAACTTATGAAATTTAAAAATGTGAATTTTCCATGAACGTTTTAAAGGCAGCCCTCATTCATAAAGGCTTCACAATAAAGGCAGTAGGGAGGGAGTCACAGAAGATTCAGGAGAAGGAATAGGAGGCATACAACCATCTTCAGTACGTAATGCCTAGTCCTTCTCACGGGTCCTTCAGCAGTTCTCTGGGCCTCCTGGTCCAGCGCAGGCCCAAGCCCAGTATACAGCAGGAACACCGCCTCTGCCCTCCTCCCTCTCTATATTATTGATCTCTTTGCACTTGACTCTGAGGGTGAATTGGCTCTGTCAGAAGTATTTGCATTTTCACAACCTCACTGGGTCAGTCAAAGGAATTAACCTTTAATGAAGGCATTTCAGGTACCTAGCAACTTGCCATTCAAGGGTAGGGGTTCTGGCACAGTGGTTAAGCTACCAGTTAGGACACCCACCTCCCACATCACAGTACTTGAGTTCAAGTTCTAGCTCCACTCCCCTTTTGTTCCAATTTTAGTATATTTGTTGCCAAAGCAAGACTTCCACTCCCCTCTTTCCGCCTGAGTGAGACTTTGAAATAAGATCGAAAAATCTTTTAAGAAATAAATGGGGCTATGCCAAAAAAAAAAAAAAATGGAAATAAGTATTGAAGAAGTAAAAAGTGCCCAATATAGAGATACTTCCAAAAATTCATTTAAAACTGAATTAAAAGATGATTTTACGGGTTGGAATGGCGTAGCCTGCGGTGTTGGCATCCCCTATAGGTAACAGATTAAGTCCCAGCTGCTCGACTTTCCTACTAATAATCTGGGAATACAGCAGAAGATGGTCCAAGGTCTTGGGCCCCTGCACCTATGTGGGAGATCCAAAAGAAGCTCCCAGCTTCCGACTGGACCAGTTCCGGGTATTGCAGCCATTTGGGGACTGAACCAGTAGAGGGAAGCTCTTCCTCTCTATCTCTCCCTGTCTCTCTCTGTAACTCTGACTTGCAAGTAAAATAAATACATCTTTTTTAAAAAAAAAAGATAATTTTATTTTGGTGGAAAATATTTTGACATCTACACACAAATGGAGTCTTTCACAAGTTCGCTGGAAAATGCACATTAAGAGAAAACCAGATCTCAAACTTCACTTGTACTAAAATGAACTGCCCCTTTCATTGCATTTTTCTGCTCATTTTTTTTTTAAACCCTCATATGACTGACTGAGGAAGAGCTGGGAGAAAGGAATAATGCTGTCAGAGACGAGGCTAGTGACTGCAGGTGCCGTCTGTAAACTGAAGAAGTGCAGTGGGGCTTTGACCGCTCCGTCTGTGCAGCTCAGAGTCTAGCAGGACACAGAACAGCCATCTCTCAGTCAAGCCACCTTGACATCTCAACAACAAAAAGGATAACTGGAAGGAATTCAGCCACTAAGCAATCAGAGTCCAGAGGCACTGATGAATGAGTGAAGATTAAACAAAGTGGACAAACGCTAGCTGGCTCATGAAGTTGCATTTAACAGGACAAAGGATGCTGATTCAGATACTTCCAAAGTGTAAGTGTCGTTTAAAAAAAGAAGAAAGAAAAGAAAACTGCTACCAGGAATGCCATCGGATTCATCTCTGCACTTCTTCACGACTGACTGCCTTGGGAGAACCACACAGCCAGATAAGAAAGTCCCTGTTTTACCCTTGAATAAACGGGGGTTTGGGAGGGAGTTGGGTAGAGAAAACTTATCCACGGTTGCACGGCTTGAAGCCCGTGGAAGCCGCTACTATCTTTGAGTCTCCTGGCTGCTAGCTGGACACTTTGCACGAGGTCCGAAAAGCTGAGAGTACTGAGAGAGGGCAGCCATGCAGAGCCCATTTCACATCTAGGGTCAAGTTTTTCTTTAAAAGAAAAAAAAATAGAAAAAGTGTAAGCAGTTGAAACAGCTGTTTGTCCCCGGAATGGTTAAATGCCGCCCTTCTCCCCTACAAGTCAAAAGAAGCCAACACAACTACCTACTGACAGCCTGCCCTGGCCTCCTGTCCCTTGAAAATGGTTGCAATATGTGTACACTTCTAAAACACCTCCTCTCCTAGTCGCTGGGTGTGCCAGAGTCTGTCACCAGTGCACTTTCCAAGTTCCAGGCTTCTGAGAACAAGTTTCTCTGGTTTGGTGCGTCCGCAATGACAAAGAGAAGACAGCCGCACTTCCCTCTTTTTCGCCGCTCTTCCCCCTCCTCCTGCTCCAACCCCTTTCCATCCCTAATTCCCCCCGGTCCTTGAGACTGACTGCAAGGGTTGGCAACTTCCCCGTGGGCGTAAGCGGCTCCTGTGCACCTGCAGCAGGGTACCCATTCTGCAGTTACTCTCTGCAGAAGCTGGATGGTGAAGACACAGGATAGTGGTCACACCCTTGGCGTTCTTCTCCCGGGTCTAGGAGTCGTTCCTGGGGGAATTGCACACCGTCACTTGCCCAGCCACCCTTCTCTGCCAGTAGCCTCCTTGGGCTTCCTGGCACATTCCCCTTGGTACTTTTCTCAAACTTCGGTGCCACGGAGCCCCGGAGCTTCGGTGCCACGGAGCCCTGGAGATTCTTTTCCGCTCCCCAAACGCAGCTCCCCTGCAAGCTCTGTGTGACACCCGCCGCCAGCGGCTCTTCTCTCTACGCACCAGGTGGGCCCTTGGCCCCCTTCACCTCGCCTGCCCCGCCGCCCGCGGCGTCCCGGACCCTCACGTACCCACAGCCCTACAGCCATCACCACTAAGAAGTAGATGACGATGACGGAGATGTCGGCGGCATTGCGGATGCGCTCGTAGGGCTCTGGGGGCGCCGCGGTGGTCAGGGGGATCGAAGTGCTAATGTCCATGGCGGCGGTGACTGCGGGTCCCTCTCGGCCGCCCTCCCCGGGATCCGTTTGCTCCTTATACGGCCTCTGGGTTAATGATCAGCCCCGGAGGAGGGGACCCAAGACGTCGTCTTCAGGGCAGCTGGGCAGTTGTGCGGTGGGACCCACTGCTGCTTGCTGCACTGCCGGGTATCAGCGCAAAATAAGGAGCCACAGGCAAGGAGACCGGCAGGTAAAGGGGTTGTCCCACGAACGGGGAGGGGCCGCCAGGAGGTGGTGCCCTCCTGGTTACAAAGGCCCCTCTGTGCTCCTGCAGCGGGCACCTGTCTCCTCACTGCCACCACACACACACACACCCTCCTCAGTCCAACCTGCCTTGGGGCGGCACCTGAAGCAACGAGCGAGTAGCTCCATGCAGACGCAGCCGGGTGCAAAAACCCTACTACTACTTGGGGTCACCTGCCACCTGCCCTTGGATCAGGCCCAGGACCTCCCTCTGTGTAGCTGATTTCTCCCTGTGTAAAATGGGTGGAAGACTTTTCTGCGAAATCTGCCAAGTTCTTGGTATCCCAGCAGGACATTCTTGGGGGTAGATGTTGGGGTGTCAGGGATGTGTGGGGGAGACCAATAGCAACATCATAATCTCAATCATTGTGCATGGCTGGCCACCCAACCACCCATCCTCCCACATTCTGAACTCCATCCTGCACAATCTGTGGCTCACAGGGAGGGGCACTGTCAACCCACAGAGTAAGAAAGGAAGAAACTGAGACGGGAGGGGATCATTTCCTTGCCCTGTGTCTCACCAAATAACATGACTTTGAGGCCTTTCCAACTTAGAGAGAAAGGGAAAAGAACAGACACTCCCCTGCAAAGAGCTCATCAGGGACTGGCGTTGTGACACAATCAGTGGGTTGAGCCATCACCTGCATTATGGATCTCCCAGTTCCCACTGCTCCACTTTTGATCCAGTTCCCTGCTAACACACGTAGGAAGACTGTGGAAGACAGCACAAGTGCTTAGACTCCCGCACACCACGTGACAGATCCAAATGGAGCTCCAGGCTTCTGATTTCAGTCCTGGCTAGTGCAGCCATTTGGAAAGTGAACATATAAATGAATGGTATCTCTCTCTCTCGCTCTCTCTGTCTTTATCTGTCTCCTTCTCTCAGCAACCCTGCCTTTCAAAAAAAAACAAATGAAACTTATTTTTAAAGGATGGCACACTGGAGCAGGGTGGTGTGGCACAGCAAGTAAAGAAAGCCACCATCCATATGCCAGCATCCCATATGGGTGTTGATTTGAGTCCCTGCTGCATGACTTCCAATCCAGCTCTCACCTGGGAGAACAGCAGAAGATGGCCCAAGTTCTTGGGTCTCTACATTCATTTGGGAGATCTGGAAGAAGAATCTGGCTTCCAACTTCTGATTGACCCAGCTGCAAAAGTTGTGGCCTTTTGGGGAGTGAAGTAGTGGATAGAAGATCTCTAATCCACACATGCAATAAGCTCTGCCTTGCAAATAAATAAATAAATCATTTTAACTAGCACATTTCTGTATTCAAAAAAGAGAGTTCATAAAATGGGGGTTCCTCCTGGGGGCTCACCCTAACCACCTAGAAGCAAGTCTTGGTCACAAATAAGGGCTGGGAATGGGGATGGCTGAGCGAGGAGGAATGACCTACCCAAGACCATCCATGTCACACAGTGAGCCAGAAGCCTCTTGTAGAGCAAGGGACAGGGTCGTGTTCTGGGATGCCAGCCTTGGGGATTGCAGAGCAGAGCCAAATGTGGCTGCTAATGGAGAGAGGTGCCTTGCTCTGATGAGGATGTGCCAGTCGGGATAGAAGCACAGAAACCCTGCTAGGACAGTATTCTGCTTTGGGCCCTCCCTGCCCGCTGCTAACCACCATGCACCACCCCAAGGTGAACAGCCTGTCCCTTTCTGCTTCACAGCCTCAGAGGTCTCCTACCTCTCCTCCCTCATTAGCACCTGTTCTTCCCCTTGCAGGAAACATGACTGAGACAGCATCCCTGTTGACCTTCTCCAAGTCCCCTGTTCAGGCCCCGGCACTGCAGACTATTCAGGCCACGTTCAGGTGCTCTCTGCTGTGGATGCTTCCCCAACACTTGTAGCTCAGTCATCAGTTGCAGCTTAAAGCAACTCACTTTTCAACCAAGTTCACCCATTCATTTATTCGGCAAAGCTTTTTCCATTGACTCTGGGCCAGGCAGAATCCCTGCCCTCTCTTACTATCCTCAAAAGTCCTCCCCACAGCAGTCCTGAAACAGGAAGCTAAACCTTGCTTCCCAGCCAGGGAACCAGGGTTAATGTGCCAGTCCCAAGCTCCTCTCACAGGGTGACATCAACAGCCTAGGAGCAGAGGTGCTGAGAGTGGGCACACATAGGCTAAAGAGCAAAGAGTGAGTTCCTATGACTAGTTTAGATCTCAGCTCAGCCACGACCAGGGCAAGTAGACCACGGACAGCTCACCTGCCACCTGTGGTCCTCCCTTGGAATTCTTGCACCTGAGCACCTTGGCACAGCCACGAGAGTGTAGGGCGCAAAAGATCCCCCTTGACAGTGGGACATGAGCAGAGCAGAGGGGTGGAGAGGCATACTAGAATTTTCCCTCCTTGCCCTGTTTGTGAATTTAGCCATGCAGGGTATGTTTCAGTGCAGGTCTTTCCCATGGCTTCTGTAGCAAGTATTACCTTAGACCCTGTGGCCTAAGAGAACAGAAATATATCCCCTCAAAGACCTGGAAGGCAGAATTCTGTAATCAGAATCCCATTGGAATCAGGGAGCCAGCACAACCACCCTACTGGGAATCTAAGAGACAATCTTCCATTGCCTCTTCCAGCTTTTGGCTGCCAACACTCCTTGGTTTATGCTCCAATCTCTCTCTCTCTCTCTCTCTCTCTCTCTCTCTCTCTCTCTCTCTCTCTCTCCCCCTCTGTGTGTGTGTGTGTATGAAAACATAACTAACAGAGGGCCAGTTTTATGGCATAGCAGGTTAAGCTACCACTTCCAACACTGGCATTCCATATCAGGGTGCTACTTTGAATCCTGGCTGTTTCATTTCCAATTCAACCCCCTGATAACGCACCTAGGAAAGCAGTGGGTCCAAGTCCTTGAGCCCCTGTCACCCATGTGGGAGACCCAGATGGAGTTCCAGGTTCCAGGCTTCACCCTGACAAGTAAGAAAATGGAATGAATCAGTAAATGAAAGATTTTTCTGTGTCTCTGTCTCTCTATCTACCCTATTTTTATTGCAAAGTCAGAGATATACTGAGAGGAGGAGAGACAGAAAGGAAGATCTTCCATCCAATGAATCACTCCCCAGTGACTGCAACAGCCAGTGCTGCGCTAATCCGAAGCCAGGAGCCAGGAACTTCTTCTAGATCTCCCAAACGGGTGCAGGGTCCCAAGGCTTTGGGCCACCTTTGACTGCTTTCCCAGACCACAAACAGGGAGCTGGATGGGAAGTGGAGCTACCAAGACTAGAACCAGCGCCCATATGGGATCCCGGAGTGTTCAAGGCGAGGACTTTAACCACTAGGCCACCACACCAGGACCAATAAATCTTTATTTAACAGAAAATCTCTATATAACAGAAAATCTATTGTCATAACCATTTCTTTTTTGCTACATAATTTTTTTATTTTTAATGATGTTTACATAGTTTATCAAAGTGGGAAGGATCAAAGGTTAGGGAAAAGTGGGTGTGATCACTCTTTCCAAATTTTCTATTTCTTTTTCCTGTTTCTGCAGGAAGGGAGGAGATAAGGGGAGAAGCCATAGCCAGCCTCCCCACTGCCCCAGTACCCAGGGATGGGGAACAGCCACCGGCATGGTGCTAATTCAGTATGATCTACCTTCATTCCAAGACTTCTTTTTAATTTGATCACAACTGCTAAGACCCTTTTGTACAAAGTAGCATTTAAGGTTCCCAGAATTAGGAACTAACATCTTTGAAGGGTCCTTTCTACAGTGATTGAGGGTGGATCTGGAAGGTTTTGTTGGAGGAAGCAGGCGGAATGAACTTTGGGAGATGGGGTGAAGAAGCATGCTGCTGCTACTGCAGAAAGCGAATTCAGACATGCGAAGAAAAGTCAGAAAGTTGCCAGACAGAGAGGAGTGGGAAGGTGAGTGAGAAGGGCCTTGCAGCTGATCACAGGATACTTCCAGAGCTGGTACCTGGGTATGGAGGGAGCAAAGACAGGAAGCTGAGAGGGACAGATATGATGCTCCTTCCCAAACCACAGTCAGCAGGAAATTGACCTCTGGTGGACCATGACCCAGGATGTAAGCCCCAGCTCAGCCCCTGGTGTGCTGAATGGCACGGGCTCTGGCTATCGTCCAGTGGACATCCAATGAGTACCCACCATGCATGCCAGTTCCAGGCTGGGACCAGAACCTAGGTTACTATGTAGTAGGCCTATCTATCTCAAATCCTAAACTTGCTTGAGAGGATCCATGGAGCAGAAAGCTACAGGACACCCCACCTGCCTTCCCCCGAGCAAGGCCACCCTGTTCTCAACCTGGGGTAGCAGGAAGAGTGAGTGCATAGCTAAGTATAGGAGGCCTGGATCCAAGTGCACGTTCCTCTGCCAAGTGGCCTCAGGCCACTCTCCTCTCTGCAACCATTTCCTCACTTGTCAAATGGGCAGAATCTAACCAGTCTGTCTCTTAAGAAAGAATCCTTATAACAATTCTGACTCTGGTCAGGTTCCTGAAGCTCCTTGGATCTTCACCTTCTACCTATCCACTGGGAACAATGAACCCAAGGCAACTGTGGGTCAGGAGCATGTCAATCACACTTGATTTTTTTTTTTAAAGGGACACAAAGAGAGGGATATTTCCATTCACTACCTAATTTACCACCTAAATTCCTGCAATAACTGAGCCAAAGTCAGAATCCCAGAAGTCAATCTGGGTCTTCTATATGGGAAGCAGGGGCCCAATCCCTGGAGCCACCATACTGGCCGCCTCCCAGGATGAACTTAAGCTAGATCAGAAG